AGATGGCTTCCAAATGTAGTATATACCTCAGCGTCCGCAACAAATCCCGCACTTTGGCCTATCTGCTGCGTGCTTCCCGAAACCAGCGTCTACATGGGGTTTAGCTACTTCTGATGTGTAATTTCCCCATTGATGTGTATTCTCCCCAATTCTCCCGAAACCCAGCGTCTGCCGACATTGATGTGTATTCTCACCAGCTGATGTGAGATAACCCCAACGCTAGTAGTAGCATGGCATTACTGCATTAGCACGAAAGTACTTCCGTAGTAGTACGACAGTACCACAAAGTATTCGTATAGTACTACACTATACTACTCCAATCGATCGGGACACCGAGTCTTCTAGCTCGCAGAAGCCGACCAGGCTCAAATCCCTGCCCTCAATCCCAAAAATGTGAACGTCCCGGTTTAGGGTTTGGCCTTCAGGGTCAGGGTTAAGTATTTTTGAGGGGGAACGCTCAAACTCCCGGCTCCAAACCCTGAATCGGTGCAGGCGGCGGCGCCGCGAGCACGATGGTGATACACGGCATTCAAGGCCCGGATCGCCTGGGGGCCTCTCTGACACGGACACTAGGGTTCCAGGGTTTAGGGTTTTAGGGTTTTAGGGTTTTAGGGTAAGGGTTTTAGGGTTTTCGGTTTAGGGTTTTGGAATACAGGAGGTTGCTGTACAATTCTGAGCCCCATAAACCACCCCCCAAACCTTCATTCGGCCCTCGACCCCCCTAAGCCTGAAACTCACAAACCCTGGAGCCCTTTCCAGTAACCCGTTGCAAGCCTTTTCTGAAAGCCTGAAACCCTAAGCCCCAAACCCTAAGGTTTAGGGTTTAGCGTTTAGGCTTCACGGTAAGCCCTGACAACCCTCAGAGTCCAGCAGCTCTTCGCAAGGCGAAGATCGCGGAGCCGTTCTCGGCGCCGGCGCAGCCCAGGGAGAGCACCGCCGCCCCAGGCAGCCAGCGACAGCTTGGGGTTGATGTGAGGTACTGTTTTGAGGCTTGGAGTTTAGTGGGCTCACAGGTGATATGCGGTCGCAAATTTGGCTTTCGGTAATCGTCTTGTTTTTTATAGTTAGACTAGGCTCTAATGAACTCCAAAGCCCTACCTTTCTAAGGCTCTTGCGATGAGCTAAAGCAAGGGTGGGTATGCAGATCAGTCATCGGGGCTCCCTATCGATCTTGGTGTGTTTATGTTTGGGGCGTGACTATGGGTGCAAATAAGGAGAACCTTGCGTCATGACAGCGACTGCGATATACTAGGGGGACAGGTCAAAAGATCAAAAAGAGACAGAGGACCGCACATGTTGCAGGGATGACAGTCTGTCCCCTGTGAGCCCCTGCGGTTTCTGTTCTGGGGTTCAGGGTCTGTGGTTTTGGGCTAAGAGCCGGAGCAGGGTCGGGGTTTGAGGCTTTGGTTTACGTGGTTCTGGCTTCGGAGCTTTGGGCTTTAGAGCTTTCCTTTTGCTTTGCTCCGTGGCTTCTTGCAGTCCTGTTGCAAGTAGCCTCGTCTGTACAAGAAAGATCCTGGCGACATTTTTGTCGAGGCAATCATGTCCATGTTCATCTGGCTTTTGTGCTCTCGAACTCGCAAGGGAGAAGCTGAACTTTGTTTGTCGCATGTCGGTTTTGCCCACCTCGAACTTCCACAAACCATGACATGCGGTTGGTCTGAATGAGGCTTCTTCTCTGTACCATACATTCAGGTAGGAGTAACAGTGCAGGGTATAGAGCTTCGGGTTCAGGGTTTGGGTTTAGAAGCTCTCAACATTGAATTGAAAGCACTGGATGCCAGCAAGCATTCTCCGCAAACCGCCAGGATTGGCGTAGCGGCCCGCCCATGGAGTGGCCCGGGTGACTTGCCCAAGAACAGACAGCCCTGGAACGGCCCATCCGTATCGCATGAGTGCGTTGTAGTCTCACGCTCATGGGATTTGGCGACTCATCAGAGCCCGGGAGTACCTGTAATCCAGAAGATCTACACTTGTTGTGAATCCCGTGAGTAATCTTGACCCCGCACATCGGTCCTATGGGATGCAAGTGGAATTTAGGCTGGGTCCGTTTAACCGAAGTGTTACAGCAGCGTCCCTCAATTGTTTGAGAACCATGCAATGTTTCTGTTTGAACCCTGACATCGGAACTCCGTCGCAAGAAAGGCATAGGTCCGGCTACACAGAAAGGCTCGAAACTCCAAATCATGAGCCAGAACCCTAGATCCTAACAGCTACCCGAGCCCTATGCCCCATCGAGGTATGCGCCACATGGCCACATGTGGCCGCCGCACCGCCCCATGTTTCCATCGCGACCGCCAATAGCAGGCAAGAGTCAAACCACCTCAGTAAGCTTCAGGTGTACGATGGTGTACGAATGTTAATTCGGGTTCCGTCGCGGGGGGGCGGGGTGTTTCATAAGGAGTTTGCAAGGGTTTCAGGGTTCGGACGATCTTTTCAAGAATATTCCCCAAACATTGTGGGACACGCTGGCGGTTCTTGCATCAGGGGTGAAGAGACTTGGATTAGGTGCCGCTCCAGTGCACGCGGGCATCGCACCCGCCAGAAACGTCGCTCCCGCTGTGCTGTGTTGTACATGTCCCACATCATATAGCTAATATAATGATATATAATGATAGGGGCCTAAGTAGCTGCCTGTACTATAGTGTGGGTTCCTTATTATGATTATAGGATAACTGACCCCAAAACCCTATGCTAAGGATTAAGGCCCTTAAACTACATCGGATTCGCGCGGCGTGCGTCTCCCCGCAGTAGGATCCGTGCGGCGGGGTACCCTGGAAAGCCGATGGAGGTTTAGGGTTTAGGGTTTAGGGGGGTTCGGAAACTTCGAATCGCAGCAGTATCCTCGTGCATCGGGTCAGGATCCGGGGGACAGCATTTTGGCCGTGCGTCGTGCTTGGGGAAAAGCATTCTGGCCGGGCTCCCGAACCCTCGGATTCGCAACAGTACTTGGGGAAGAATCTTGACCGTGCTTTACGGTGGTCTGTTGGTTGTCGTCATCCTGGTCGTAGTGGTGGTCCTGGTGGTCTTGGTTGTCCTAGTCGTCGTGCTCGTCATGGTTCACCTTGGTGCTCTTTCACTGTTTGGGGATCTGCGCTTGCATGATTCCGTCACGAAGGGGCTTGGGGGTTTCTGGGTTGCCGTGTCGGGCGCAGAATTCACAGCCGCCTCTGACATCAGAACTCCCTTCTCATCAACAAGCCCCGAAAACCTGAACCCTTAAGCCCTAAACGCCAACCCCGGCTGGAACCCCAAAAAAAGCGCGAGGCTACGGAGCCTGGCACGTGCCCCCACCTCGCCCTGAGCCACACATGGACTGGCGAGGTGGTGCGGCCCTCGGAGGGGATTGGGTTGAGGTGTTACATCACACTGCCACTAAAGCCTAAACCCTAAACCATAAACCCTTAGAAATCAAGCAGATGGCACAACTTCCTGTGCCCATCCGGCCTGGAATGAAAAAATGCCGCCCACAAGCCCATTAGGTGCTATGGCTCTCCATGCTGAGAGCACACAGCAGGTTTTCTGCCATGTCATGCCATGTCTGGCAATGTATATTGTGCATGATTTAGGGAACTGGTAGGGTTGTGGTGTGGACATCTATTGAATAGACGGTTGTTATGGATGTGCTATCGTTCAGATTCTTCGTTAATTCAGAGATGGAATTGGGCTGCGTGTGTGTGCGGCTGGAAGTCCATGCATCTTCGCTGCATTTTTGAGAGCCATCGACCAGAAGTTTCAGCCGTCTTGCAATTAGTCTGCTTCATGTCCGCGTTTGCATTTCTGGAGTGCGCAGTCCTCACTCTCCTGGGCTCATATCCCTTCGCCGCCGTGATGTTGAAGGAACAAGACGCCGAGCAATACGAGGCATGTGGGCCGGAAGGTCAATGCACTTTCATTCGCTTCGTAGCAAGCCGCGGCCTGCCGGAAACAAGCTTCTCTGCCTTGAACCGTTCCGACGATGTCAAGTTCAAGTTCAAGAACAACACTGCAGCGGCGGCCAATATGCCTTTTCTGCCTACGTTTGTGACAGTTCGCAACGGGCTAGGTGTTGAGGCTGCGGACCCACCGATTCTTGACTTTCTCCTGAAGATTCAGGCAGTGGTGAATAGATCCCAGTCGGTCTTCTCTCTGTACTCTCCATGGTTGATCTGTTCCGTTCCTATGTACGTGTTTTATTTGTATCCGGCTTCCCTGGCACGTCTTGCGAACGCTTGGAGCTCCAAGGAAGAATTCCCCTGCATGCAAGAGGTGGACCACACGTACTGCAACAGCCCGGGTGCGCGTAATGGTATTCACAACCACCTTCGAGCAGGATTGTCCCGACTCGCCTCTCTTGTCTGCATCGGGATGTGGACTTTGCTGAAGATCGTTCATGACGTTGCCTTGCTAGGCGGTGTTCAGGAGTCCCAGACAATTCTGATAGGGATTGTGGCATGGTGCTTTCAAGCTGGAGCAACAATCTTCTCGATGCTATGGGCGGCTGGCGCCATCCAGGTATTCACGTCGTCCGGCACCGAAGGCAAGTGTCATGCCTGTTACTACCAACTGGGAGAGGTGGATATGTTGCTCGTTCTACTTACACCATGTCTGCTATTGTGGACAGCACGGAGCAAGCTCAAAAGCTTGAAGTTGGCATTGGTGCATGGCGACTACTTGTATGCAGTGTCGTACGATGTCCCATTCAGAGTTGTCGGTTAGTGCACGTGTGCACCT